TCGGTTACGAAAATGAACCGCCTCGCAGATTTGGATTTGTCGATGAACGGTATCTCCGGTATGATTCCGGAGAATATCGGGAACATGCCGGTTTTGTCGACTCTGAATCTGGACAGCAACAGAATCTCAGGGCAAATACCTCCAACTCTGATCAGCAATGGCGGGCTAGGGATTCTGAATTTGAGCAGAAACGCTCTGGAGGGGCAGATTCCGGACGTTTTCTGCCCGGGTTCATACTTCATGGCGCTCGATTTGTCGTTCAATGCCCTAAAGGTCCGATACCAAATTCATTGTCGTCAGCCGAATACGTTGGGCATTTGAATTTGAGTCATAACCATCTTTGCGGGTCCATACCCATCGGGTCGCCCTTCGATCACCTCGAAGCGTCGTCGTTTTCCAACAATGACTGCCTCTGTGGGAACCCATTAAGTACTTGTTGACGAATACAAATCCGGGTAAGAGAAAACAAGCTATAGTCGACCCGGATCCGACCCGAAATAATGTTTATAGGATTGTAATAAATAAGAATGTTTTATAATTAATTTTTTTTTGGTTTAATGCAATCTGAATCTTATTAATAATTAAATGTAGTGTCTTCTTTTTTCTTTAATTATAAATTTGGTTCTCATTAAAACAAAATTAAAATTAATTTTGGAATAGATATATTAATTTTTTTAAAAATTAACTATTTTATTAGACAATATATATATTTATACACACAATTTCAATGACACCAAATTTTTTAAAAAGTTGTTCTTACAAAATTTGAAATATAAATTTAATTTGTGAGATGAACTTCATTATATAAATTTTAATCATTAAGCTTGTGGATCTTCTTCTTAGTCTTGTTGAATGATCGACCTTTGAGTTCATTGGTCTTCATTTGTTTATGGACTAGTTGATCTTCTTGGGTGATCGGTTCTTGGATTGTCGATCCTCTTATGATTATCGTTTTAACTTTGTTTATTTTTTATTGTTGGCGTATGATTTGTTGATTGTTTTGGATTGACTTATAGTTTGTTGATCGATTTGGAACAGTCTTTGACTTGGTTATCTGATTCATCCCCTCTTTAGTGGGTCACTGAAATTTACATGACATTTTTTTTTATCGGATAAACTGACCAACTTGAAAATCGGGTAACAATCCAACTCTGTTTTAAAAAGCTTAAGAATATTTAATATTTGTTGTTGGATGAAAGTCCCACATTATAATCAAGGAATACTAGAGCTAATATGTGCAACAAACCCCGACTTTTGGAAGAGGTGCATTTATTAGATAAAAGGTCAACGCGGGCTCTGCTCGTTGCTCTGATACCATGTTAGTTGAACACGACTCTCCACAATGGTACGATATTGTCCACTTTGAGCAAAGCCTTGAGAGCTTATGCTCAAAGTGGACAATATTATACCATTGTGGAGAGTCGTGATTTTAACATGGTATCAGAGCCATGCCCTAAACTTAGTCATGTTAATAGAATCTTCAAATTTCGAACAAAAGTATTGTGAGCCTCGAAGGCATAGTAAAAAAATGACTAAGACTCCAAAAGAAAATGAGTTGAGCCTCGATTAAGGGGAAATGTACTTTGTTTGATGGGAGGTATTGGATGAAAGTCTCACATTATAATCAAGGAATACTATCTCCATTGGTGTGATGCCTTTTAGGGAAACACAAAGCAAAGTCATGAGAGTTTATGCTCAAAGTGGAAAATATCATACTATTGTGGAGAGTCGTGATTCTAACATTTGTAACCCGTGGCAATGATGCGTTGTGACTGGCAAATATTTGATATTTGAAATTTATGAAATTTTAATTACTAATATAACGTGTATTTTAGATAAGTAAGATTTTTTTTAAAATAATTAAAAAAACCGTCGTCAACTCAACCAAAAAATGAGAGGGTTGGTGTGACGACCCGAAATTTTCTACTTAATTCAAGGTCGCTACTGTATACATACTATAAACATTGAATGCGGAAGACTTCATTTAAATTCCATAAAATATACCCTTTAACTTAAAACACAGTCATGGACTTACGTGTTTCGAAAATATCTTTAAAATGACACAACAAAAGACTCGAAATAAAATGAATAAGCGTTTAAGTTTAAAACATCCTATTCTATCCTAAGTCTAAGAATAAATACCACTATCCTATGCATGTGCCATGATCTCGAGTTGCAATGCCGTCGTCAGCCGTACAGAAATGCCTTGTCTTAATCTGAAAAATGTAGTAGCACATGGCTTGAGTATTTAAAGAAATACTCAGTAAGTGACCTCACTATTGGGGTTAAATGCAACAATCACATGCAATAAAATGATGGGATCTATCTTTCGTTTCATTTCGTTTCATTTCGTTTCATTTCGTTTCGTTTCGTTTCCCTACGGTGTAATCCTGACAGGTAATCGTGGACGTGTACCATATACTCTACACGCAGCCCATACGTGCGAGTATTGTCTCACCAGCTAGTTCGCACACCGCTGGGCCACTGTCCCTAGCCGGTGGGCATGCTCTAGGGGCCCACCGGGACCCGTTAAAACTAAAACCGTCACGGCAGCACTATGCAGGGCATAACGATCGTTGTCCTGCCATTTGGATGTACGCGTCCGTACCCTCGTGATGGGATAGGGGTATCCCCCCAAATGCATGATCACACAATATGCATGAGGTCCCACTAGTCCTATAGTCATCATTTAATGAACATAACCCCGTGTCACGTTTTTATGCTTACATGTCATTCTCATACTCATTTCGTTACATATCATACATATTCCTAGCGGGGTTATGTATCATGCAATTTACCGTATTTCATGTCATACAATTCATTCAGTTACATTTCAATACTCATACAACAAGCCATAATCGTACAAGGGCCACACATCGTCACATGCATTCGTATCACATCAACTAAGCAGCATAAATAACATACATTCACGTTCACATGATTTCGTAGTTAAGCACAATAATCTAGCATACAATGTATCGTATCATAACCAAGTCATAACGTAAACACTTCATAGTCATATCGTTCTCTAACTTACCATAGCCTTAACGTTCTTATACCTATCACAGACATATCATTACGTGACGTACCTTAGTCATATCGTCACAAGAATGTACCCTAACGCTATCGTTCTATCAATCTATCACAAACTTATCCCTTTCTACCCATAACCTAACCGTATTCTTTCATCAATCTCTCCTATCCATAGCACTCCGGTATGTAACCTAACTCTAACGTTTCATAAACGTATCTTACTCTTATCGTTACATTTCGTTTCGTGCATCCTTCTCATACCCTATCTCAAACATATCCTTAAGCACATCGTACCATAATTATTATCATACAAACCACATATTATAACATAACATAACATATAGGAAGCATATCGATCCACAGATAATTCACACATATCAATATATATGACACGTGCAGAACCACAGGGCACGTGTCAACATCAAATATAATCATGCCGATAGTAAGGTCACTTACCTGCCCAGCTTAAGTCGTTGTCACGAATATATCTTTAATGAAAGTTTGATTCCGTCCTTTGAAATCGGGGTCAACCTATATGAGCCCATGACATTAGTTTCGGGTTTGAATTATACCACATTATTTCTCTAATTTACATTGGTCCATTGTTAGAAATCTTGAAATGTTATATATCTATAATTATATTTTTATTAAAAATCTCATTTTTCATGGTTACTGTGGTATAAAAAGTAGATACAGCTAAGTTACTCTCAGCTTTACTGTTATCTGTATTTACCGTATGTATTTACCTTTCCCTCCATATTTAGTTTCTGTTTTTAATTCCCTAATCTTTTTTTTTATCTGTTGCCTTTTAATTCTATTCTCATGTATTCCAAATTTAAGGTGGATCTCTATTTCCAAATTTTTCTATCTCAATATTTCCTATTTCCTTATCTCAGTTTCTTAGGCAGAAGTTTTCTTGGCTATTCTATCTTTAATCTATTCATTTGGCTACTGATAAAAATTTAATATAATATTACTAATATGACAGGATTGACTAGAATAGTATAAATGATTTGGCATTTAATTTCTACCTAAAAGATGGATCATGGTAATAATTCAACAATGATCTAACTATAGTTGTGATTTCTAAAAAAATAGGATAAAAGAAAATGAAGATTTAATACATACCTTATTGATCAGATCTATCTTCACGTAAATCTTCAACCAATCTCAACTGGGTAAAGGTCATTCTCATCTCTTTTTTTTTCAATTATTGTTTTTTTTTTTTCTGTTTGCAGTAATGTAACTTTCTGTCGTCAGGATGGGTTGAGGAGAGATAATTGTGGAAAGTGGGAGAGGTTAGTAGAGAGAGATGGGAAATGTTGTTTTTATTTATTTATTATTATTTTAACTACCTTATTATAATTATTTTTATTTGTTTATTTATTTTTGGCTATTACAGTTGGATTTGTGGACTCTATTTGGGTTGTTCACGTCACCAACCCAACCAATCCAAAATTTCGAGTCGCTTAAGAAGATTTTTCTAACGCAACCTGTGTACACCTCCTAATTTGAGTTAAGTTCGACTTTGGGCCTAACTTTTGAGTTTGAGACGAGTAATCCTTTTTTTAATTCATTTTCAATGAGTTGAGCCTAAATTAGAGTAACGTGACATAATTTGATTAGACCAGTTAACAATTTTTGATGGACCAATGCTTACACAAATGACATTGAATATGAAACAATGCAATTGTGACGTACGATAGATATTTGGGTTATACTAATCTAGGCCAGTATCGTTGTAGAGTATAAATATTATTTAATATTGTAATGAATTTCTACTCCTTATATATATTTTTTATTATATAAATATTCTCACATTTAATAAATGAGGGTTTATTAATTAAAAAAAAATATTATTCTTAAATTGGCCTTATCTTTAAAAAACAGTTTTTAGTTTTCCTTTTTTATTTTCATAATTAAATTTATTGGAATCACATGATCGGGCCGGAAGAGAAAATTGGGCCGGAGTCCAACTGTCTATTGTTTGGAGGGGTACCTTTCCCGCCATCGACCATTTCTCTCAACGAGCAAATTTAGGGCACATTCTTTCCGCTCCTCACCACTTCCATTGAAAGTAAGCTCCAATTCATTCCTCTTCTTCACACAAATTTCGGTTTTATTCGTTGTTCTTTTGCTCAGTGTAGCTTCCAGTTCTTCAATATTGATTTCCAGATGCATGATGCCGCAACTTCGTCGAGATTATTTGAATCGACCAGCAGATGGAATTTTATTTTTCGCTCGTCGTAATTTGTTTCATTTCTCGGATATTTCAGGTTTCTGGTGCCTTTAATTTTACTGAGGAGTTGCGAAAACGCTATCGTGATGGTAAATTTCTGAATGATTTGTTCAATTAGGATATTGATGCTGGTTGATTGCGAAGTATAATGTGGTATTCGTATCGTTTGGTTTATCAGTCTGGAAGAAAAGAAACTGTTCTGGATTTGGCTAAGTTTGTAGACAAGGGCGTCCAAGTGAAGCTTACCGGCGGCAGACAAGGTTGTTTCTATTAATTATGGTTAATAGTATTACTGCCACTTGGATTCAATTCATTGCTTTCCGATTAGCAAGATTTTTATTCAACTGTTCGTGTGTTGCGTTGAAGAGGACCGAGGCACATGATTGAATGTTCGATGTCTTTTTTCTTTTTAATTTGTTGTTTTTAAATTCTAGAAAAGTGCCTTATGATCCTTATTTTCCATTGACAGTTACTGGAACGCTAAAAGGATATGATCAATTGCTGAACCTTGTGCTGGATGAAGCTATAGAGTTTTTAAGAGGTAACCAATTAACTGGATACTGGCAGAATAGATGAGATTTGTGGAATTTTATAAACGTATAGACTGAAAGCTCGATGGAAATTGATTAGCAGCATTCATATAACTTTTCTTATTTATTTTCACCTTCCTGCTATTTTAAATTTACGGGAAATTTAGAAAAAAAAAATCATTTGATATTGGATGAAGAGGCACAAATTAAGTATTTAATTTAGAAGTAACATAAGCAAACAAACAATTTTTCTATAAGAATAGACAAAGATTTCTGTTCTACCGATTTAACGGATTAAGATATGGCAGTGTAGTAAAGGCCTTTCATATTGAAACGTTATTGTGTTTTACATGTTTTCTTTAAGCATATTTGCAATCGATACGTTTTTTTTTTCTATCTTTCAATAGAAAAATGGATGTCATTGGCATTATGGACTATATGAATAGTTATTTTATTTTATTTTTATTTTTATTTTGAATATTGGATATATTTAAATTTATATTAGGCTGTTGCATAAATTTGTATCCTCAATCTGCATTATTATCTTGTAAATCTTTGCATAACATCATTTTGGATTTTATTCGTGTACCCATACACTATTATAAGATTTGTTTGAATAAAAGTTGCAAATACGTGCAAATCTGTGACAATCTCTACCATGATATTTAAAACCACCATTTTTTCTTTCTATTGTTACTTGTAACTAGATGATTAATCTATTCATAGGCATAAGTGAAATTCTGAATTAATATGTATGTGTGTGCAATGCATATAATATTAAGTAATCACATTCATTCAAAAGGCATGGAAAAAAGAGGAAGATGAGCAATCTCGTCTCCCCGGTCCAGGCCTTGGGGTGGGTGCTGGTGCCCTCGGGAATAGGAGAGCAAAGCTTCAACTCCCGGTTATATTAAAAACAAAAACCTCTATATTATTTATCATCAGTGGGGCATGTTAAAGGAAGTTTCAAGAGCCTCCCACCCGGCATTTCCTACCAAAATCACCGCAACTATTTAGCTTATGTACACCCACAGATATGACTAACAACCTCACCCCCAGACCCAAGTATGACACCCATCAACTGACATTGTTCCTTCTCCCCTTACACACTGCACCTTGACTAATGAAAGCCTGGAAAAATATACAAATTAGAGGCAAAACCTAGAAGCTCTCAGAACTTATCTAAGCTCCACATCTTGTGTTCATAATTTTTTTTAGAGAAAAAAAAAAGGTAATATTTTTGTCTCTACTTCCAAAGCTCCCACAAAAAAGCTTTGAGGAGTTTGAACCACAACATCCTATTTGGACGTATGCTCACAAAGACTATCTTCGGCAACCAAACACAAGAACACAACAAAACAGAAAAATAACTATATTGCAATATCAATGAAGAAATTACAATATCTAATCGCTTTTTAAGAGGGTTATCTCTCTCCGAAGTCCCACAATGAACAATCCTCACCAAAAATGATCTTATAATGTCCCTAACTCCCCATATTTATAACCAAGTTACCCCCTAACTAATTACCACTATGTCCTTACTCCTAATATTCCCAATATGTTCCTTACTAGTACTATCACAGACTCTTGTAACAAGGCCTGATTATATGTGTGGAAGCACCATTGAAAGCCGGAAACTTCCAGTAGCTTATGCCAACAAGGACAGACTAGGCAGGTCGTGCTTATTAATCCTCAAAATTTGCTTTGTTAAGAAGGTACCACTTAGGAGCCTATACTTTATAAGGGCACTTCTGATGAATTCTGTCCCGTGGTGTTGATATTTCATATTCCGTAGCACCAAGGTTCAAGAACAAACTAGACCTTCTTTGCAGCCCAAGCTTTCCAAATAGCCTCGGAGAGCCATTTCTCCAACATTCTAGGACGTGTAAAGAAGTATTATAATGGTACTATAAAGTTCATTTATGAATTAGTAAATGAGTTCATGGACTCATCTGGGTTTGCACCTCCTTTTTTTTTTTTTTTTTTTTTTTT